CCACGAAATTCCCATTTTCTTACGTCATCCCTACAGCCGCTGAGTCACGCCATTCTATCGTACCCCATGAGGCATCGTAAACATTCGCCACCCTCGTGTTCGCGACTACAGGGTAAAATCGCATATTCAGCATAGCGTTCGAAAGGTATGCTTTTGGAATCGTATTCCCTGAACAGCGTTCGAGTGGTATGGTTTTGGAATCGTGTTTCTCGAAGAGAGAATTCGAGGACACATGCTTTTGAAATCGTATTTCTTGAACAGCGTTCGAGAGGGTATGCTTTTGGAACGTCAAGTATACAAAAATGTTATCGGAGAGATTTCATCCAATCGAAAGCAGAGAATAAATTCCCAAAAAATGGAGACTAATTTTCGGCATTTCATTATTAGAATTAAAATCAATTAATCTTTTTTTTCAAAAGAAAATTACATTCTGAAAATTAAGATTGATTAGCTTCTTTATTCACAGATTAATTCTCTCTCGAATAAATTTTGAAAAGTTCACGAAAAGAAATTTTACTGAAATATCTAAAACTTTAAATACACTGAGAAAAAAATATAGTTAATTTTAATAAATATTTAGTTCAATACTGTCAATTAAACATTTACTCACAGTAAATAAATATTTATTGTTCAATAAAAAAAATGATTGTTAAATCAAATTAACATTTCTTGTATCAAATAGATATATCTTTATATTTAGTTGGTAGTATTCAATTAAACATTTATTAAAACTGACTATATTTCTTTTCAGTGTAAATATATCTAAGGATAATTTTAAACAATCAAAATAATTATTAGGACACTTAAGCTGATTGCTAAAATATCAAAACTTCTTGCAGAATTATATCATTTAATTTCTACTATTCTATAATTATTTTAACAGTCCAACAAAATTATTTTCAGGTCTAATTAAATTTTTAAATGCTTTAAAATCGTTCTTTTTCAGGAAAATTAAGAAAAGCAATCTTTCCTCTTTTCGACTCGCAAAAACAAAACTATTTTTCTGAATTTTTTGAAAAAGTTACGCGATTGATTTCAAGTTTTGTATATTTATTCCATGTATCTTCAACAACGTGTAAAATAAAAATTACTAAAAAATATAAATGTCTAAAACTTTAAATGCGTTTTTCTCAAATAGTGTAGTTTTCAAAATCTGCAGATTTTTTAAAAATATGATGATATCTCAAAAACTATTGAACAAGTTGACTTCTTTTTGTCTTTTAATAAAAACTGTAATAAAAACTAATTTTTTTTACGAAACACACTAATATAATAATAATTTTAAATCCGATGCACGATCCCATTTTGTCAATTTTCGATTTTTCCGTAAAACCCAAGGTTCATTACTTATCTACACATTAATAAATAAAATTTAAATTTATTTCCGCTCATTCAAAAGAGCAAGTTCTTTTTGCGCCCTCGTCATTTTATATCTTTTGAATTATCATTTTTTAATAATTTTTATTTCATACATTGTTGAAGATACATAAAACCCGTATAAAACAAACACGTATAAAACTCGAAATCTCCCTTCGTCATACAATTACAAAAAGAAATCGTAAAAATAAGCTTTATTTTCGTGCATCTTAGAAACCATTAGCCAATTTCTTCACGTTTCTTGAAAAACCAGCACTCGTCAATCACAATCAATTCTCCGTGTTCGATTATCCGACACCATGTACGTTAGACATGGCGCCATAACAAAATGTAAATCTAGCCGTTTCGTGGCGCGGCGCGCCGGACTCGCCAACCGTGTCAATATGTAATTCCTTCGGTTATGAAACGAAAATTTACGAGCACAAGGCCGCCCTGTGCTATTATCATAAGCGAAGAAATTAACGTAATCGCAGTCACGACGGCCCTTTCAATTCCCTCAATAACAACGGCGACGGTGGCGGCGGCCGATATATAAAACATGTAATTCAAGATTTCCCATGGATCGGTTCGCGCTTGCGATCGGATCTGAATTGCGTCAATACGCGCGCATTGCATAATAATCCATAATATGGCATAACTTCGCGTATTGCGCACCCGTTATTATACCCGTCGCGTTTGCGATCACGATATTATTATTTCTATTTCGCGACGCTATCACGATATCGATGTAACGTGTGGCTCTTAGCCAACGAGCAACGATTTATCAAACTAGAACTCGTTATATGGGTCTTTCGTTAAATGTAAACATCCACATTGTTGAATATGATATACTCTTTTCCCGGCACGAACAATAAAAACCTAGTCTAATGTCCATTTCTACCAATGTCGATTAATTCTAATTTCTGTTTATTTTTATCTTTATCTAGTTCTAACAAGAAAATGACAGGATTGGGAAGTAAGTAACGCTGTTACGCTTTTTTCTATGTAATATTTTTTATTTGTAATATTGTTACGTTTTTACAGTATATTGTTAAAGGAGTAATGATAATCCAATTCATCGAGTTAAATAAATAAAATAATGTTTTAACTTTCATGTGATAATATAAATCAATCCATTTCTGTGTTAGTTTCAAAGTAAACAATGTTCATATTAATATATGCACTTAATAAATGATAAACTAAATTTGAATAAAAATACATTTCTTGAATTAAATTGTTTGTTATTTTAGTTAAGTTAACGACATATTGATTGTGAGTAGCAATAGTGGCGTTCTATAAAAATTACCTAAGAAAAATTACCTAAGAAAAATTACACTAAGAAAAAAATACTATTGATTCAATTAAAGTCTGTATTACGGATTGTCACTAACATAAGTGATTAGTTCATGTATATTTTTATTGACATAAAAGCATAAATTATTATTTCAATAAGGCCTTTATGTCAAATGTTAATTTGATTTAACAATCTTTTTTTTTTATTGAATATTTACTTACTGTAAGTAAATGTTTAGTTGGCAGTATTGGACTAAATATTTAGTAAAATTAACTATATTTTTTTCTCAATATAGAAATCTAATATTGAATTAATCTTGAAAAACAGTAATTAATTACTTATTTTAAATATTAAAAGCACCGTGGCTCAGTACTTTTAGTACTCCAAATAAATAATTAATTATTATCTTCCAAGAATAAATTAACCTATATTATATTTTTGTAACACTTTGACATAAATTCAAGAGTGTGAGAAATTTCGCCGTTACTTTTACAGTTACTTCAATTTCCTATCATTAGTAATAATAATTATATTTATAATTCTACAAAAAAATAATTGACACCAAAAATGATTATAAAGTATATAATTAAATTATGGTAATTCCAATTTTTTCTCACAATCAGTGCATTCTGCTTCTGCGATCAGTTCACGAATTATAATAAAATTATAAATAGAACGAAATCCCGAATTCCACGAATCACATAGATCGAAAGCTTGAAATGCAAATAGCTTACAGGAAAACGTCATTAGTTTCTGTCATGCGCGCGCGACACACGATACATATCCTCTGTAAATATACCGTGTCGAAAGGTGAGAACGCCAAATATATGTAAGAAACACAAGGATCGAATGTTCGAATTACTGTGATCGAGTGTTAACGTGGTGTCTTCGCTGACGTCTGTCTAAATCATTCCGCTTCGCTCGATTCGGTTGCGACAACATTTATTTGCTTGTCATAGAGTTTCACTATTCATGAAACGATCAAAGACTTGTATTACGAATAAATTGTGCTTGGATCGATAAATCAGAAAGTTTACTCTTCGCGAGGTACGAGTACGTATTTTGTTTCCGTGTAACCACATTTGTTTTCTTTACTTCGTATTAAACTCATTTTAAATCGATTTTTTATTATTGCTCAAGATTTAAGTAATTTATTTATTAAAATGTATATCAAAATTATTTTCAATTAATTGTTTTCATTATTTTTAATAAAACATTCTTTTTCTTCTTTAATACTTAAGGAACACATATTATTATTAACTGATTAACAATTACTCCGATCATTTGTCAGTTCAAGTAATAAAAACGACTTTTACGAATGTTACTTGTTTATTTTAAAGTAAATTTCTTTCGACTGATTCTATGGTATCCTTTCTTTAAAAAGTTTTTAAACACATGCTTTTTTTTTTACTGGAACGCATATATCTATTATCAGTCAAAAATACATATTTTAACTATTTGTTTGTGTAGTCGCAGATAAAAGTTTATCTAATTTGACGGTTTCAACTTCTTTCTGGTTATTTTTAAAAATTATATATAACATGTATATGTTATTCCATAATAAAGCAAGAATATTATAAAATATTTTGAGATCAAAGAGGCTGAAATCATTTTGTACTTCGACTTATGTTGTTTGACTTTGTGGTTTCAAATTTGTACAGAAAGGACGATTGCTGAAGTATCTAAAAATTTAACTGGATACAGATTTGAAAATAATTTTGTTGAATTATGAAAATAATTATGTAAGACCGATTGCTAAAGTATTAAAAACTTTTTGCTTTTTAAATCTGAATCAGTCAGGATAGTCACTAATTATCCAGTGACATACTTTGCACTGATACTCAGTGAAGTGCAACTAAAAAAGGAAGAATATTTGAACATTATATAACAAAAACTGATATTTGCAGGTTCAATTTCAATTCCATATACATTGAATTTAAGTACTAAAACAAGATTAGTTAGACGTCACAATAAAAATTAGCTAGGTTAAGGATCTCACATTTAATTCACTGATTAGTTGCATACTTGGCACTGATATCAGTGATTATCCACAGATTTAGAGAGTGCAGCATTGCTTATTTAATTTAGAGCATGCTTAAGATTTCCTACGTAATTATTTTGACAAAGTCCAACTAAGTTATATCTTCAAATCTCTGTATCTTATAGCTAAATTTATAAATACTTCGGCAAACTCGTTTTTTTTCTAATCAATATAAGTTTTCTTTTTATCACAGAATTCTAAGGCTCACTCTTTTACAACTGTAGCATAGAGGATTGGAAATCGTCTGAAAGTTATCCTGTGCAGTTTGTTGCAACTTGCCGCGAATGTTCTTACATTCTACATTGAAAAATGGAATCGACAACCGACTCGTCTCTTTTTTTCGCCAGTTGCAGTTCTAACTGCACGGACTATGATTATGAACATTCGGAAATCAGGACACAATCCGAGAAGAAAAAACGTGTGAAAAGATCTCCCGTGCCAAAGCTTTCTCTCTCTTTCTCCTTTATGTCTTTGTCAGATATGAAAAATACGAAATCATTTAAAACCAACAAAGCTTCAAAGAAAACCCAAAAGGCGAAATCTCAAAGTACGTTTTAAATTTGCATTGTAAAACTTAGCAACCTCAATTTTCAATCGTAGTACTTATGGAAAGATCAATTTTAAAGTATCTAAAAATTTAGCTGATTACATCTGAAAATAACTTTGTTGGACCATTAAAATAATTATGGGACACTCAAGATAGTTATTGGAAGATCGAAATTTTTTGCAACTTGCTTGAGCATTTTATACAATTATTTTGATAATTCAGATCATATATCCTATATCTAGATGACGAAAAGAACAGTTTTGCCGGAGTATCTCTAAAAAAAATTTAATTAGGTACAGATCTGAAAATAATTTTGCTGAACCATCAAAATAATAATGTAACACAGCCAAGATGATTTCCAGAACAAAATGATTTCCAGTCAAAATTTTTTGCAACATTGCTCTGTATTCATGCTTGAGCGTCCCATGTAATTATTTTGATAGTCCAAAGAAAATTAATTCCAGATCTGTATCTAACTAAATTTTTAGATACTCTGGGAAAACTGTTTTTTCCATATATCATCTGTAATTATAATTCTATTACTCTGGACGAAATTTTTTTTTTACTGTTCACTTCGCTTTAGAAAATCAAACTTGAATTTAACTGATTTGAAAGATCCAGATTAATTCGAGAATTATTTCACATTCCGTATTTTGTTTATATATAAAAAAAAATCTTTGTTTTTATTATAACAGACGAACTCTTGAAGGATTACTGCCCGTATTCCTCCGACAATTGTGGTTGCAGTTCAGGTTGCACGGATTGCGATTACGGACTCTATACATATACAACTAAAAACAAGAGCAAGTTGAAAAGTAAAGACAAGAGATTCTATATAAGGCCTTCGAGTAGTTTCAGACCTTTGGTATCCCAGAAAAGTCGAAAAACTGCAAAACCATTTAGCGCTATAAATATTTTAAGAAAAAAAAAGGCAAAACTTCCCAAAAGTACGTACATTCACACCGTAAACTTAACAATAATTCAAACTTTTTACTCTTTATGTTTTCTTATTATGATACCGTCCGCGATTATGTAACTTTAACTTAATTGACTTTCGACTATTCGCTTTATTCTCTAAAAATCAAATATGAGTAATTAAATTCAATTAAGAAGATTTAATTTAATTTAATATATTAATGTAATAATAATTTAATTTAATTTAATTTAAATTAATTTAATTTCAATATTCAAACTAATTGATCTAATTACTTCGTTATACATGGAAAAAAATGAATCGTGTATTAACAGCATTAGATCTAATTATAAATAATTTTATTAATTCAATAACAATGTTAATATAACAAATATCTACTTTATTAAAATAAGAGTATTATATTCAATTAGAAAGATTATTCCTAATTAGACTAATACTATTAATACTATTATATATTATTTTTATACAATATAATAGAAAAAGCCTTGAAAAGCAGCTACTCCGAATCTTCCGGCAGTTGTAATCGCCAGTCAAACTATATAAAACATAACTTCAAAACAAAAACACTAAAAACAACTAAAGACCAAAAATCAAAAACCAAAAAGAAGACATCAGTGAGGAATTTGAGAAAACTGAAAACAATGAGAATTGTGAAAACTCTGAAATTGCGCAAGAATAAGAAAGTTTCAAAGAGCGCAGCTACTATAAAAGTATCTGAAAGTATGTTACAAATTTCAGTTATCTATTTAAATCCACACTTTATTATTGTAACATTAAATTTTTGATTGTGGCTGTCACTCGATAGATTTTCGACTATTTCCTTTACTTTCGAAAATCAAACAAATTTAAATATTCCAATTTGGATTAGTTTAAGACTAATTTATTTTTATTGATTTAACTATTTTTACATTATTTGATTGTAATTATCATATACAACATTTTTTTATTATATAAATTTTATTTCAATAGGAACCATTATGAAAAATTGGTTTCCTGATTCATCTAATAACTATGAGTGCAATTCGGATTATACAGACTGCGAAAAGCGCATAACTATAAAAAGAAAAAAATTGAAAAGCAGATCTAGAAGAGTGAAAACTTCAAACCGAAAATGTCGGAACTATCTTCAGTAATCGATGAAAATAATGATGACAGTTAGAAATGAAAAGAATTCAAAAGAAGCAAACAACAGAAGTACGTCTTGAAAGTACGTCAAAAAATTGCCTTGAATTTATCAAATTTTTATGGATAATATAGCGATATACATAGCTACTTTTTTGTAATGATATCTTCTTTTCTTTTATTTTTCTTTGTGTATAATTCTATTACTTATACAATACATCGTAATTTGAATTATTTACCATTAAAATCTCTAAATGTGAATTTAAGTACCACAATCTATCTCGAAATTTACTTATTGACTCTGTTGAATAGATAAAGCAGCTTCGCAACTGTTATAAAATTCTGTAACATAATTGATCTTTCCCTTAGTTTCTTAATCTAAATGCTAATCATATTAAAGAATTTTACAACAGTTGCAAAATTGCTTTCTCTGCTAAACGCAGCCATTATAAAACATAATATTACTAATTATTATTGAATATTATTTTTAACATTATTAAGATAGTATGATATTATTTAAATAATCATTAATTTACACAGATGTTGATATATATTTCTTTTCTATAAATAAATTTGTTCTTTTAAGAACGTATATCGTCACAGTCCTATTATTCTGAAAATGATTCTTACTTCACAGGTGAAGATTGCTACTAACAAGAGCAAAATTATCCCCTAATCATATGAAAACTCAATTACAGAATTTTACTCAAATTTTTAATAACACGCTAATCAAACATTAATATAACAAATTATTTATATTGCCACAAATAATTAATATATTACGAATGCTCTATAAAAAAGTGTGATGAAATATATATTAATTTTAAAACAATACATATCACGCAAGAAAAGTGTATATGTTAACGTATATGTTAATCAATATATTCTATGTACAATAATTCTCCTGACTATCTATATGTATATATTGGATTATGTCTAATTATAATTTTTATTTACATATAATA